TTCAAATTTCTCTATATATAATACGTAGTTTGTTGTGCTGTTGTTAATGTTTTCTAATTTATGACGTGAAATAAATTGCTTATTACATACAACGTTCACACTGTATTCTAAGTATAGACCAAGCCGATTAGTCAAAAAAAAATTAGTCCCTTCTCTTAACCTCAAAATTCATTCTTCAACATTTTTATACAGCTTTGGTTATCTGTAAGCCTAGGTTAATGTGACAATTTTCCTAACCCTTCTTATCCTTTTCAGATTACGTTAATTTTCATGTAAAATAATTAGAATAACACATATAAGCGAACAATATTGTTTTCGATTAGATCGTCATCAGGCTGCTTTACTCTAATATACATGAATATTTAAATGAAAATGTTAAACCAATCAAGGCAATTTGAGTGATAATCACAATGAAATGAAAAAGATTACGTAACTACATAAAATAGGCAAATGTTCGAGTGGATAGTAGGAAGACAGGTGTACTGATAGTAGTAGAAAAATTATAAAATATGATAACTGAAGTTTTATGAATAGTAGGTCAAAGATGGATGAATAGACTTCAAATAAACATTAAAAACATCATAACCATTACGTAATAAGCAAATATGTAAAAATAAAAATAAAATGAAATAAGATATATATATATATATAATGTCAATCGTTAGTTACGTCATATCCGGCCACGGAAGAGATAGGGGTGTCACGAATTTATTCTGAACACATAAATTGGGGTTGAACGTACGAATTCCCATGGCTTCTGCTATATGTAGGAGACGGGATCGAACTCCTTAGGGAAATGATTGAGGTATTTGATAGATCACTCGAAAAGATCTAGACTTATCTACAATATGACCAGTATCAACCAGGTGTGCTAAGATCGAACTGCGTATTATTTTTTACCGACCCTTCTTAAACCATGCTGGGAGATGTTCACTCATTCTTTGGTTAAGTTGCCCGGTAGTACGCCCGATATTAGCTATCTCCACATTTTCATATAAATATTCATGTATATTAGAGTAAAGCCTGATGACGATCTAATCGAAAACAATATTGTTCGCTTATATGTGTTGTTCTAATTTTCACAATCGGAATCTTTAATATAAGATATTGCCTTGACCAGTGTACATATGTGTCACCAGATAGTTCGAAATGTATAGCGAAAATACATCACACTATTTTTCCGACCAACTACGTTTTCTTATTGTTCTATCAAAAACTAATATTGCACGAGTGATCAAGTGAAAATCACTGGATTATCACCACACTAGTGAAACATGAATTTTGCTACTCAGGTGATAAAACACATGTGCAAGTTCAAACAATTAGTCCTATTGAGAAATTTGTATATTCGGTAATACAAAGACGTGGATAATCAGAATTACGTAACTTCTCAGCGTAATTTAAATAATCTAAGCGTAATTTTAAATAATCTAGTCATTTATTTAAGTTGCCAATAACACTTGTATATGTAAAAGATACAAAAGGTCAACTTCACAAAATTTAAGGAAATTAGGTTGAGTTTAGAACAAACTGTTTTTGAAAAACATAATTTTATTGCTAAACGTATGAATGAGAAAAGTCAAAAGACGTAGTTTAATTCTGTTTTTCTCAAATGTAATCAGGTGTTTCAGATTTTCCGAAATCTGTGCTTTACGAATATTCAAAGCTTCTTTGAGTGTTCAAAAACAGTTTGTTATCACATTAAACTTAATTGTGTTATACTGTGTAAATATATTCAGTGGTTGTTTTCACATGGTCTTTTAAAATCAACTGTAACCTTACACTAAATTTTTCAAGTTGACTTCCACGTGTAAATATTCCTAACAAGCAGATATGTGTGATCAGATTATTTGAAGTGTATTTATCACGTAGCTCTGATCATCTTCACAATTTTAATGACCCTCAACTATCTACACAACTTCGTGATTACAATCTAATTGCTTACTAGCTTCGTAATTCGGAGTTATAGTAAGAATCCCTATCCAGTTGACATCATTCTTTAGGGTCTGCTACTCACTAAAGACCGTACACAGGAGCAATCAGTAACATTCCGGTTCACTTACATGTTTTTGTTATTATTACGAAAATTTAACGATATTCAATAAGAAACATAATAATTGAAGAATTCATATTAATTTAGCATCTTTCATTACACAAATTATTTATTAAAACACCGTTTCAGAAAACCATTTGTTCGTTCACCACTGCATCGAGTCAACAAAGATGGAATTCTTTATGAGCCAAACATTGTCAGTTATGGAACGTCTGCTATCGAAGATGTTTACAGAATAGGAAATGCAACACAATGTAAGCTCATTTATGAATGTTACGCATTTTCCAAGTGTATTGGTTGGATTCAACATTGTTAAAGGGTTTCAAAGTAGATTATTTTACGCTAGCTGATATTTTGTTTGCAGTTTGCTGTCCATTGTTTAAATTTGAAACAGTTCTCGGTCTATCAAATTATAAAATTCAACATCTAACATTTCTTCACTAAGACATGCCTGCAAAAAACGTTAACATCACATTGTGCGATCCTTGAATATAACTAAAAACTGATTTCAGGCAAGGTTGCTTTTTCTTACACTTTATCTTTCTCCTGATGATGAGAAAACGTCAGCGTCTGCCGCAACTCGTGGCATACTGTTAACAACTAGCTTACAACTTGAATATGTGAATATTCCAGTTCCTCTAGCGCACAAGCAACAACATATTCAGAGGTACTAGATTAGTGCAGCGGTGGTCTACAAAGCGATGGTTCTCAGCGTTAACAATCAAATGCTCCACTGCAACACATCACATGAAGAAAATGACGGTTGAGGGATGCAATATCAGCTTCTCTACTGAAGAGATTGTTTGATAGGCTGTGTTGATCTGATTCTAAAGTAAGGTAAAGATGGACACGGCACAATCATCATCTTCACAATGTAAAAAATTTGTAAGGAAAACCTGCGTTAACCAGCAGGAATCCCAGAATACTGTTGTCAGAATAGATCATCGGCACGGGGCCGAATCTTCAGGATTCAAACAGATCATTGTCTTAAGTATAAAAATATTTGTTGTTAGCTGTGTATGCAAAATACCAATTATCCGATTGTCAGACGTCATCAACAACAACCTACTGCAAGAGGAGAAATCAGCATTTTGCAGACGAAGAAAACAGGAAAGTTCTCTGGGGCAAGGTAAGACACATATTGAGAAAACCACTCAACTGCGTCTGAATTCAAGCCCTCATATCGAATTCAGAAGACTGAGAAGAACGTAGACATAAGAATTCATTGCGACTGGTATTGGTGAAATGCACGAGGTAAATGGAAAGAAACTTGAACCAGCGGTTAAATAAGGCTTTGTACAGAGTAGGTCGAAGAATGCTGATGACAGGAATATGTGGGTAGGTGCGCAGATAAACAATTAAACTGGCGTATATGAATGCTTGTAAGTCTAGTATGTGGTGTGTCAAATACATGAACAATACTTTTATTTATTGTACCGTTCGAGTGTGTAGTTCGAAATGGAACTACTAGTATTTTTACAGTAGTACTATTTATAAAATCTAAAACATTATTTTTGTTTCAAAATTTTTAAAATTATATCTGCATCCTAACGTAAAGGGTGGACAGACATCATTCCATCAATTTTCAGCTTTGATGTTTATGCAAACTGATATTTGTGAAAAAGTTTGACTTTTAAGTCCGTTCTCATCAGATATCACATATATTATTCTAAGTTAGCCTATCGAAACAGATTAGAAAATTTAGTAATGTCTACAGAAATCGAAATTCCCAATATTGAAATTTTTAATATATAATGTTTGTTTAAGTCACCTTAGTTGAAATTATCAGATCACTAATCAAAGTACGTTTATTTAAGATTACTTAAATGACTAATCTGCCGCGTTATTTTAAGAACGTTAGTGAATCCAATCTCATGTAATTTGATTTGTGCATCATCTTAACCCAAATCCTTTGAATATCTCTATCACGTTCATATAATTTTTCAATTGATTAACTTACCGTTCATTTATGAATCGTAAAATCAGAATATTTCCAGCTAAGTGCAAACATGCACTTGCTTATACGTTAAGTAAAGAAAATATCATTTAACATAATGGTTTGTAAATTATCGATTGTGCAAACAACTATCTTTCTACATTTCATTTTTGTTTATAAACCTTATATACATAGTACATTTTGTCTACCAACGTTAAAGTCGCATCATATGAAATTTTATTTTTTACATTATGATCACTATGTTAATCACACATTTACATTCTTACCTACTTATTTACGCCTTTCACAACTTATGGAGCTTAAGCCGAGAACCAGTGTTCTCAGACGCATTCAAACAATATTGATAAGTGAAAAATTTGTAGACAGTAATGATAAATGCAGGCACATCACTGTTTATCCCTTAGCTTTTGAATTTTTGATTCATTCAGTCATCATCAATTGACGATAAATGTGTATAGATTGTTGTAGTAACATATACAGATTGCCGAATACCGAATAATATTTGACATATGTATGTATACATTTTGAAATCACTTAGCACAAACCTAGTTAATTATCGCTTCAGAGTTGTGTGATAGTGAGTAACAGCGGAACAAGTAAAATAAATGCACAACATAGCTTATGGATAAAAGTAAACAAATTAGGACGTGATGCGAACAAAGAGATCGGAAGATAAAATGTCGTCATATGAGAATAAATGTCTTAGAATTGATTGTCTGTAATGAAGTTGAGGTTTAATAATTCATAGGCATTTCATACTTCATCAGTACAGTTGTCTAGCGCTATCTAAATTGATTGGACCATCATTTGAACCAAGTGCATTTTGTTATGTCCACAAACTCTTGAATATCTTGAACTTTGGTTCTTAACACTGTATGGTACTTGAATTATAGCCGAAAAGCTTATTTTGGTTTACGAAAGCTGACTGTTATGTCTACTTGTTTGAAAGCAGATGTTTTGTTCATATATATATAATTGTGTGTAATGTCATTCATTTTCCATACATCATAGATCATAAAACGGATATGATTGTAGAACTATTATTATCAAGAACAAACTATGAACGACAAAATATCAAACAAAAATACGACAGTGTCATGGGAAAGGTATGTTCAGAACTGTTTGTATATATTACTGCATGATAGTTTTTTGTATTCATATTGTCAATGAAGGAATTGTGTGTTCTATCGGCTTACACTGATCAACTCATTTTTAGCTGGTTAAATGTTTAAGCTTCTGAAAGACACTAATAACTGATATCATATATATGAATAAGAAGTATTTTAACTTAAATGTTAAGAAAACCCTTGATAGTCTGTGGAGTGTTATGAAGATTATATCCTGTAACAAAATAATAAGTCATCTAAGACCAAATTCGTTTTCTTTGAAAGCAGGTAAGCTCCTTGATAATAATAAGTGAAGAAAAACTTTTTTTAAGTGTGTGCCTTCTCTTCCTGAGCTCTTTATTTTACAAATTCCAAAATCACACCTCATATAACGGCTGTTATCATTGCCGGCATTGTCACGGTAGTTCATAAGTATCATTATTTTAACTGAAGTCTATTCGGGATTCATGACGAATGTATATATGTGTTGTCGGCATAATAATAGTGGCTTGTAACACATTTATATGAATACATTCTACAAGTTGAATTTGTTTAAACTTTTAGATACATAAAATGTTCGATAGATTTGAATAATTTATTGATCAAAAAATAACTTGATGTTTTTTAAACAGGGTTTGTTAATGACTACCAGTGAAAGTGTTATCTCTTATTTGTTTTGAGCTGAATATCTCCGCACTACACTGTTAATGCTTAGACTTCAGCTGGTAGCCCAGAATTATTTCTTACTATCAAGATCAGATAATAACGTTATCTTAACTAGATCTATATAAGCTTAAATGCATAAAGACTTTAAACAATCTCGCTTTAATCAATTCCACTCATCGCAGTTTAGTAATATATATTTGGTAATTTTATTTCTGCCTTCATATCTTAAAAGTATCCCTTTCATGTTTGATCATAAAAATATCTTTAGCGTTACAATTCTACTTCATTTTCAGTCTTTACTCAACGAAAATGAAAATATAAAGTCAAATTTAGTGTATGTTTTATTTCAAGATTTATTGACCGATTCATCGAACATATTAGCTGAAGAATTAAACAAAGCAATCATTTTAACAGATTTAAAAAGGATAACCAGTATATTGATTGATTTCTGGGGTAAGGAATTCAATCAAGTAGAGAAAGTTTATAAATTATGTGAGTAAATTTCTGATGTTATTACTTCCAATCAAACACTGTACATATATATTAATTTTAAAAATGCCGAAAATATATTGTCACTCCGGGTTTAGTTTTAATCAACCGTAATACGACTATGAATCGTTGCAGACTTTTCAGAAGTGCGTAATATCACAAATGTATCTTCGAAATAGATATTGTTCAACTTCAGTAGATGTTACGTTTACACTTTGTACAAATCAATGGTCTACAATATAATTCAAATACCTAATCATTTTTATTATATTCAATAAATCTCACATTGATAATGGTGACATAGAACGAATAATAATCATGCAGCTGATATTTTCTTATCATAAGACCAGAATTCCTTATATGTGATCAGATTTGAAACAGAAATTTCACAACCTATTTGAAAAGATAAAATAATGTTAAACTAAAGGATGATGGACCTAATAACCATCATTTTGCTAATGAGATAAATCCTAAGTCGATATTTCATGGTAAAAAAATATACAACAAATCTATTTCCAGAATTCTTTACAAATCATACATTCAACTGAAATCCAGAAACAGTTGAAAACTAAGTCGAAGTGTTTGGCACAATTTTTGTTCGGAAAAATGTAACTTTTAATTTTGAAAAAAATTATAAAGTCAATATCAGTCAAACATTGTGTTTTTATTGTTCAGTTAACAAAATAAGAGAATATTTGTAAATGTTTCCCCGTACATCACAGCTTCCTCCGAGTCTCTATGGTATTCTATTGAGAAACAGTTTGGAAAATCAGTAGAATCTGTTTTACGATGCGTTCTAGAAACCAGAAAAATTGAACCTCAACAGGAATATCCAATTAAAGGTCGAGGTGGTAAGCCGAAAGTTAACGAGAGCGTTGTTTCAAAGGCGTTTAATAAGCTTATGGATGTGTCCAATTGCAAGTACGTTAATAGTATTAACAATTCATAGTAGCCTGGATATTATTTCACACATTTCCTGTCATTGCCTACTTTTCTTATTATCAGTTATGAAATGACGATTCATGGTTTTTTCGAGAATGACTGTTCATCACCTATATATACAGTACAATATATTTTCTTTTCAACTTTCACTTAGTATGAACCTGCATCCGTTACGATCATCAGTTTGTCATTTTATTCAAGAAAATCAAATCTTGTGAGAAGAGATTTGTTCACAAATTACAACATTTTTTCATCAAGCCGGTTTTGTGCTTTGAGCACATTCTCTAATTATATATTTCATTTTGATTATTGATGTCATTTTAGAAAATGATTCTCAGGTTCAATGTTTGCTGTCAAATTTAGTGCTTACATAAATTTAATTTTGATTATCATCTAACATTAGCGCTGTTCCAAGCAATCAATAATCATTTAAGGAATGATGTTAAGTAAGAAGTGTACATCTTTTTACGCATACAGAAATTTTCCAGTTAGAGTTATGGAGATAATTGGTTTTACCACAATGAAACCATCCATCAATCGCTATTAGACCAGTGGTCTAGAAGTAACGTTTACGCGCAAGACCAAAAGTCTTGGGTTTTGAGTCGCGGATGAGCACTGCTGTTGTGTCCCATACCAGGCCGAAACGGCTGTCAAGTGTTTTCGAATTTCTAATGACGGTCTAACATTGATTGTTTGATGATTTTCATATGTACACCGAAATCAATTAATTCCTTGCCATTGGAAGTAGTAGTAGTTTCTAAATGTGTTTGTCACTAGCATGTATAGTTAAATATTCTTAAGTAGTGTTTATTATTCCATCAAGTACTTTTAAATGAACTCATGATAATGTACCTTTTTATAATGTTCACTGCGTTAAAAAGATTTATTGTTTTTTTTCAGGAAAGTGAAAGCAGAGCAACTTGGTGAAATTCTGTGTAAACTTAACCCATTCGAATTCGAAACATTGGACACGTTGTTACAACATTTAAGGCTAGGAGAATTAAATGTGTACACACGTACAGATCTTCAGGTGTGACATTTAACATTTTAATTCCTTTACAGTAAATTTTTATTTGAAAACGTACTTGCTCTATTATTCATACTGTTTTCTTTTTTTCGTTTGTATATTAATTGTAAGGAATCTTATGATTCAATCTTTGAAATTCTGCAAACAAAAACATTTGGTCCTATACGTGATGTATTGGTCGCCATATGTAAGTATGATAAATGCAGGAAAAGATTTTGTACTTAAGTGAATTTCAAAATATTTTTCCTATTGTTTGATAAGTTGAAAACATGAATGTCATCTGAGTATATAACTTATAATTGGTAAAGTTTAGTTTTCGCAACTACGTATTACAGTTTTGAAGCTTCTGTTGTTTTCTTGATCAACAGGATCAGCTCAAACTAAGATGAAAATGCACTATTCAAATTTTTTTCATTTAGAACTGTTCGTTTGTCTTGTTTACCGTCATTTTGACTTTTTTTCTATACAAGATATTCAGTAAACAGCAATAAGCTCCACTATATTCATTCGGGTAAACAATGATCTTTTTTTCTCTATTTCAACGTGATTTCGGTACGCTCGACTCCCAGTATCCTTAAACGAGTTCACCTTAGTCGAATAACGAGGACAAACAATGAACCAGGCTACTGTGAACCTTCGACCAAATGAATCATTTAGAAGTCCTGATATAGTGTAGAAATTATATTCTACACACAGTCAACCAGCGCACAATGAACCCGAGCACTGAAGTTGCGTTTATTTATACTGTATAGAGACGCCCTTGTGACAGTCACAAAAATAGCGCACTAAAATGACACTTTAACCAATCACAGCCAAGGAATTTCCTGGTGGGAAAAGTGATCTCAAGGTCAAATGATCGGTCGATGAAATAAATCCAAAATAAAGATATTTATTAAGCATGTTCGGAGAATCTACAATCTCCAACAGATTTCCTGCATTTCATTTCGTTCGTTAGAGAAAATATCTCTTATATTAGATTATGACTTCAAGGAAGAACAATATTTCACAAAATGAATCTACTGAACCGCTAGGAATTCAAGATTCTTCTTCTGCACACCTGATAGACTTTGTTTGTAAAATTTAAGATTGAAGATACAGTATGGATTGAACATACTTATCATGTGAAATCTAATCGTAATAATGAAAATTCTTTTGGACTAAGTTTATATATTCAAACGTCAAAATACTTTATGTTAAATAAACTGAATAAAAATCGTGAAAGTATAGGAAAAATAAAGTTTCGAATTATCATTCACCTAGGAAAAGAAATTGTGCATATTTCTGTGAAGATGAGATTTTCGGAAAATAATTATAAAAAAATATTCACTTTATTCAAATAATAGACAGAAACACATTATAATTAGTGTGTTTTTGTTTATTTGGGATAAAAAGTTTTTGTCTTATCTATCTATCACGTATCATAGAATCACAGCATTTTCTTTCTGTTAACATTGTACAATCATAATAAGTTAAATTCACGACTATTTCATTGCAGATAATTATTCTATCAACAAACCATTATACTTTGCAACAATAATTCATCATGAACTGCATAAAGAACTGACTGATATATTAAGTATACAACGTCTGTTGTTATTACGATCAGAAGTGAGTTAAATAAAAAAATTTGAATTTTTTAGAATTCGCATCATGTTTGCTCAATTTAAATTAAAGTAAATGAGAAAAATTGCGCTTTTTTTTAATCAAACGTCTCATTTAGCAGATGTACTCACGTTTGAAATCCAGTGATATATAATTTGCTGCCACCGAGTAAAGAATCTTTGGGCTATGACAAAATGGAGCAGAATCTTTAAATAAAAACTTAAAAAGAAGGCTGATTCTTTGATGAGTTTTCCTGTCAGCAAATTAATTTTCAATTGAAAGTTATGATTTAAGATTTTGTCGCGCAGAGTATTAGGCTAATGTACCAGAATGCAGTATAGTCACATGTATGATCGTGAGGATCTGTGTTGTTAAGGAAAAGTACATTATTAGTGTATTAGCTTTCTGAAACACTTGCACAGACAAGTAGAATTAGAACTTATGCCGACCTGTCATCGGAAGTGATTACTTCAAGTGATGTCCATCAGAGATGTCCACTTTCTCAATCCATGTTGAATTTTGTCAAAGGCATGCTTCTCGATATAACACAATCCTCGCCTGACTTTCCAGGATTGAATCTTCTACCAGTTCACTTGGTAACTGAATTTGAATGTGACGATGACATTGCTCTATCTAGTGAAGGCGGTGATAGAATGCAGTGTTTATTGAAAAGCCTTAGCAACAATATAAGCGTGTTTGAGACGCGATTTTCTTCGTCGAAATGCTTGTTTTGGCACCTGAACTAGTGACAGGGAGTAAAATAGTTAAGCATGTTAAAAGTTTGACTTATTTGATCATTGCTGATGGTCTCGTTTGTGACGAAATCTCAGCACAGGTAAAGAGGGTTGGATTGGCTTTTGCCTACTCGTCTCACGTATGACCTAAGCGAGACATCCGTCTATTAACCAAAGGACGAGTGCACTGCGTATCAGTTCACCTTTTTCCCACTATTAAGTTGAGAAACATGGATAGTCAGAGTAGTAGATAAACGTAGATTACTAGTTTTTGATTATAGATGTCTAGATGCTCGTTTATCCTGGTAGAACTGAGTAAGCGATCCTTTGGTAAGCAAGCAGGTTATTGTCATTAGATTATTAATTGAAAGTTCGCCAGTCGTTGGGACAGAGTTTACGTATACCCAACCTTCGACTATCTCGTAAAACTATATTTTGTGATAAAGGAGTATGTTGAAAGAAAGCTAGGGGCAGACAAACCACAACATGGCACCAATACACATTGATAGGTGTCGTCTACTTGCTTAGGTCCCGCGAAGATAATAGTAATTGCTGGTTTACAGACCTTGAAATACATGGCTCAAAACCGTTTGCAGTGGTGCATATGTCACTATTGTTTGTGTTCTATCAAATCCTAACTTCTGAATGCCACACCTCCTTTATATGTTTCTTTTGAGTTTTCTTCACTAGATTCTATTTCTTGAATTTTATTTTCTTCGGCTAATGTTGATACTTCTACTACCCCCCCGCACATGGAATATTAAGTGACAAAGATACACGTGTTACGACGGATCACATCACACAAAAACAAAACGAACAAACGTGCATCAATAAATATTTCGGATCAAAATGAAACTACTACTTATAAAGCACTTTTAGACTGCGAAATTTTCATTAAACAATCATAACACGTCGTTTTCGGGGATACTAACATGATCAACAAACTCCTACTAATGCACGGAAGCAACATACAAGCTTCACGCGACCTTCTAATTGAAGAAGAAAATAAGATCAAGAATAACTAGAAGTGGACGGAAAAGTAATGAATTCATCGAGCCGTTTGGTTTTGAGCTACAAGTTACACAATCTTAGTGAATGAATACCTTTATTTTAATCTAGCCTTTTGAAATTCATAATTAATAATTAGCCAATAAAGCTTGTCTGAACTCGTGACGTGTGAAGGTACATTTATTTCGAATGTGATGCATCATACATATAACTATTTTACAAATTACTACAAACGCTAATTTTGAGACAATATTTTGCTGATTTCAGTCATGAACTGAAAATCTGCCGTCCTGGTCCTCAGCGTATATCACTCGTAGAAAAAGAACTAAGAGACTTCTACTTCCACACCGAAAGTCCTGGTTGAAAGAGAAAATCCAGAATATAAGCCTCGTTACAACGACAAATGGCCGTCAGTATCTTTGAAAATCAGCTGAGGCATAGTCTGTAAGGCCGAAATAGATAAATTTTTATTCGTTGCACAATCGTCTAAAATCGAAAATCAGTCGCCTAAGTATTTTTTCAAAGGACCTATTTATTACATAATTGTGAATTATCTAAGAATTTAAAAATTAGTGTATTTGCCTCATAATAACGACAATTTTTCATTCAGTTCAATGAAGATTGTAATTTTTAAATTTTCTTATTACTTTACAGATTGATTTACATACCATTGACAAAGTGTATAAAACTAAATATGGAATGTATTTATCAGAGGATATCAAGCAAATCTATGTTGGTGAATATGGTGATAGACTTTTAAAACTTTGGAAAAAAGAGAAATACCGGACATATTTCAACAAGCAATACCAATATTGCCCCCTCAATTGCAATCAAAGATTATTTGAATGACACTTTACTCTATCGTTATTCGTTTTTAACATTTTAACGTATTGACTCTGGTTATGTAATATGAAAAACAATTTTTAACCTATTTATCCTACATTGTGTTCTTTTGAGTTAAACTCATATCCAAAGTATCAATGTTCATTGTGACTTAGGAAAAATGAGCTTCCATCGACCTCTGACTCACTAAACGTTTATTCTACTGTTAGTCAGACAATTTCAACCAAGCCTGAGCAGATCACAGTTATTGAAAAAGATCTACGAGTCAGTTGCGATGTATTCAATGAACAAATTATTTATTTGGAAGTAAATGTTGTAAACTGCTTGCTTAAACCTCTGAACAAGTCTTATATGAATTAAAAACGTGTATAATTTTGACAGGTGGTGAACATTTTTTTTAACGAATGACCCGATGACTTCTGAGAAATTTCGCCAGTTGTTTCTATCTTTACTCCGTATCAAGCATTTAGAAACCAAGCATCAACATTGTTTCGTTGAAACGTTCATTAAACCGATACAGAAGTGGTTTGAAAGAAAGCAAAGTAAAGCAAACAATTAAAGATTTCATTTTCAGTCTACTACTAAGTTCGTAGGAATAGGCGTACAATATCTGCATTGTAGTAGCATTTGCTTTCCACTCCTTTATGTAATTATTACTAGGCATTTGATTATTTTTTAGTCATTGTGTAACATTCCGATTTATTTAAAGACTTTAGAATTTCTAATGAAAACTAACACAGGGAAATCAAATTAGACATTATCATAAGTATGAATACTATAATTTCATACGATAATGAAGTGTGTAACTGCATTTCGGAACGCTATGGAAATTTTTCGAAGCACCAATTTTCTGTTATAAGACTCATGTGTATTTAAATATTTCTGAATGCAATAAAATATCTTTCATCATAGGAATAATCAATTTTTTCGATTGTCACAGTGATCGAATTAAACTAAATTAAATAGTAATATGGTATGCCTAAAAAGAATGGAAATCGACAGTTTCATGATTTACAGTTTACATGATTTACAACAACATTTTGAAAAATGCTTGACTTTGGGTTTCCATTAGGTTGTATTTTTTTTTCCACATTTTGATTATAATCGACATATTAAAAGTAGATTCTTCATCATATCTTATTGGAAGATCGCTGGTTAATAAAATTAAATTATTCTTTGTGTAAGATTATGATGTTCATTCTTCGTTCATAGATGATATCTAAAATATGGAAATAGAAATCATAACTCACTGTCATTATCTGTGATTAACAAAGGTTTCAGACCATTATATGTAAGAAATTGGTTGAAATTATACATTGTTTCGATAGGTGGAGAATGATATGTTTATTTAGAAAGTTGGTCACTGAATCGTACACTATTATGCTTTTAACGTTCAAGAAAAGTGATAACTGAGGTTCCCTTTTACCTAACTTGTAAGTAATCCCGTTTTCCTTTATCTTTGAAAACATGAATAGTTCAATTTTCTACTTGCATTATAAATCAGGTAACACTGGCGAGCGTTTAAGTCCTGGTATAAGACTTATAATTGGTGCCTACTCATGGATCCGGCTGTTTGTAGCAATCGAATTTAGGATATTTCGTATAGTTCATAAATACTTGACCATTAAAACGATGGTAATGTCCAACTTTAATCAGTAACCGCCTATCTTCAGCATGCATGGCGTCACTACAGAAAATAGTTAAAGTAACTGGTCATGGAGTCAAGTACACGCTTTTTTGATCTGCTTTGTACTATAGCAAAACGGCTAGCTATTTCAACCAGATTTTTCATAATGTGCCAGCCTTTATCGATTCATGATTTCTAAGATGAAATATTTCTAGATTCATTGCTCAGTATGAAATGATACCTTGTTTATCATTCCTGGGGTACGAAAGCTGAAAACAATAATGGTATAGTAACATAGTATTAGATGATCTACTCCGTAAAAAATCACTGTATTGCATTACAATTGAAAATGTTTATCGCAAATAAAAACTAATTATTTTTATGATGGTTAGAATCACGAATCGATCTTTGCTGAAACTTTATTGTAAATCTGGATTCACTGGACGTTCGTTTCCTTTTAGAATGTGACCCACCAATAGAATCCATCCATGATTCTCGCGCTAATAGCCTCAATTTGAATTTACGATGCCATACTGAGGAGCTCAGATCAATGGATTTTTTTATATGAGGTAGAGAAGGCTATCCGCTGCAGGTAACATACAATCGTTCCGCAAGTTTTTGGATGGAACGATCATCTATTTATTTCAGGCCTATGAATGTGATCTAGATCATAACACTCCGACGATATGTTATTAAAAACAGCATTTTGATTTTGGATGTCCAGCGACTAAATAAGCATCTACTAAAGCTGAAGGTAGTCTAATGCTGGAACAAGTTGTAGGACAACTAACGTTTATAATAAATCTATATAGATAGTTAAACATGTCAGGTGAATTCGATATCCTCCATTTTTAACGGTATATGAAATCTATAAGTCCTTCATTGTTTCAACAAACTAAGTTAAGTAAGTTTTTTGGATTTTACCTGATTATATAACATGGAATGATGCTGTTACAGATATTTTGGGTGGAATTACTAAATGCCATTTACAAATTCCTGTGAATACAGCTTTCAAAAACCGATAAATTTGAAAAAAAATAGCTAGAGCAGTTAGGCATTATTTTGACAAGTATTGTAGTGTAACTCCGTTATTTTGGGAGGGAATGAGACTCTTTTTTTACAATAATTCACATAATAAAATGATCTCACTAATCTTTGGTAGAAATGCACGTGAACATTGTTAATGATTGAACATTACGTTTTGTAATCATCAGAATTAAATGTTTGTATGGTCAACGAATTATCAAAAATCAGAGCGTAAAGTCACTTTAAAAACCTAGGTGCCTGAAAGTAATCTGTTTTTCAAATAATAACATTCAAAAATGAACTGAATACTTAGTACAATAAGTTTTAATTATTTTGTGCATTCTATTTGAATCACGAGCATACCTGCTACCATAACGTGGTTGGCCGGCTTGCCTATCGCAATAACCCAACCAAAATTTATTGGCTGGAAAATGTGTTCCTAAAGGATCTAAGATTGGAGAACGTCACATCCAACCAAGTAGACCGCTTACAATTTTTCATAATTGAAAAACATTCACCAATTACAAGAATGGTTGTCATTACCTGCAATATAAATGTCAAGCACACATGACTTGTCTTTACTTCTAAAAAATGTTGCTACCTTCAATCAGTTAATTATGATCTTAGGTTGTTTTCATTTCAATAATTTTTTTACAATACTCAATTCGCTTACCACACTGAAAGCTGATTTTTATCATAAACAGTTGGTACGATATCATTGCATTGACTTGGTGCACTCAACTTTTCCAGTTCAGCTTGCTTAGATTTTGCGGTTATGTTTAATAATTATTTGTTTATGCAAAGGTAAGAAAAAGCATTGCAAAATTTTGTTGTCCATTCAATTATATTCCTCTCACAATCTTATCTTACCTTACTTTAAAACAAAGAAATTAATGAAATCATTTTAATATTCATTTGTTAGGACGAGAAAGATTCAGATCACAGGCCACTCTACATCAGTTTCTATGATATTTCTATTTAAAAGTAAGAATGACACTGAATATCCTAAAAAACTTTCGGATGTGTTTGCCTAATTTCATATACTTGAATATAAGATTAGGCATAATTTATACGCGAAAGTAACATTTGTATTTTCAACGAAGAATGTGTAAGTTATTACGAAAAGGTATGTAGACTATATATGAATTTGTTAAAAACGGTTGGCTTTGCCTAATGTATTTTTAAATATGATTTCTGTAACGATGATTCCATTCTATGTGCAAGAATTCCTTAATAATCGAGTTATATAACTGATTCTTCAATGTTGTTTAGATTTAGACTGATTTTTGATCAGTCCATTATAAATAATGTGTTAATAATGAAGTTGATGAATTTTACTAAAAATATCGTATTATTATATCAAAACAATCGATAAATTATCTTCAGTATGTTCAATGAATATTTAATTTCATTTTAGAAATGTATTTAGTTCATTGTGTTTAATCTTTTCATGCACTTACAGGATTTCTACCATTCATTTCCATCTAAGTCATGAACTGCCGCTTACTAACCAACCTACTTAATCACTTACTTACTTACCTACTCACATACTCACGTATGTCTGTTCTCACTAGTAAAGCATTGGCCGTGGTTACTTTATTTTCAGGGGGTTCGATATCTTACAGAAACGCTCGCTAACCCATGCACAACCTTTCCTATTCATCCGTGCTTGGCAGAGGCAGTAACCTCAGAAATGTTTAGGAGGAGTTGCATATCTGTCAGTTATGAAGTTAATCACTGTACCTATAAAACAATCTTTGTTTCCTAGTCATAGCTTTCAGTTGGCATCATTTATTTTTACTACAGTTTCACGTAAACAGTGTGAAATTAAATTCTCTGAATATATTAGGTCCTGTACATAGATCATTTACAAATGCGTTGAATGGGATTGAGTAACTGTGAAAATTATATCATGTGTTGATGATTTTCACAATGAACTGATAATTAGAAGTTAATAACTTTACATGCAAGTGTACTCGAATTTTTATGGGTATGATCTAGAAGTGCATAGGTAGAATAACAGAAAAAGTGGAAATATCTACTTATTTATGACCTAAATTTATATCAAATGTGCGGAAACTTAAATTGTTCAGTTATTTCTTTGTTAACATACTGTGTGAAATGACTAATGTACACTTTAAGCTTATTCCATTTCAGTTCTTTATAGTGTTATACAACTTAACTTGAATGTAAAACATTTATTCCTCTTTACAAATTTTGGTAGAACATTAAGAAGAAGAATAATTACGTCTTCTCACTGTTCTGTTAAAATTATTTTGAATGCTTTTTAATTAAACATTTTTGTAAGAGAATCTTTTTATAAATTTTGAGACAACAGTGAGAACTTTTGATTAACTGACCTGAAGTAATGTTACCGTTTCCTACACCTTCTTATTCCTTCAATATTACGTTAATTTTTTCTATCCTGAATTTATAATTACCAACTTATGTCTACTTGAACGGTAATTTTTTCGGCTTCCTGATAATTTTCATATAAAATACCTTGACAATTTTACGTGCGTGTACAAGTTCTAAATGCATTGCGTTTTTCACAACAGTTACAGCGTTTCACTTTTCTATCAAAATTTATAAAAAGGGAAAAATTGTTTTAAATCATATAATAATTGATTTCTAAAATAAAAAGCCATCATTGCGGTGGTGTTTCATTCTCTGAGCTGGATGCTTTTCTTGTGTAGCTTTCATTGTTCG